GATTGTGTCATTTCATAAAAGTGTATTGGTCCACTTTGCAATCATCTCTGCATTCAAGTGTATTACATAAGGCCATCTTACCTTGCATGGCTTGTCTTCTTCCTTTTTCACATCCTGCTTCTTTGCATGTACCTATTTCTATTTGTGTTAGTCATCGTCTCTGGGTAAATTGTCCATGAGACCAATGACTCCATGAGCAAATTATCCAGAAAATGCTGTCTTTGCACGTTGTGACAGATCATGTCACTGGTGGATTTATAGCTACTCCAGTTGTCTAATTAACCTGGCAGTTGTCTCCTGTGCCCAACACTGTTGTCTCGTTGCCTTGGCATCTGGGTTTTCATCTTCTCATTATCTTCTTCTTAACTAAAGCTCTCATTTATGATTTTTTTTAACCTATCCCACTGAACTCTATTCACCACCTCCCTTATTTTTGATTGGCAGTATCATCCAGATAAACAAAGTACAGATGTGCCAGCAGGAACAGTGGAGGAATGTATGCAGAAGTTCATCGAAATTGATCAGGCATGGAAAATTCTAGGGAATGAAGAGACAAAAAAAACGTATGACCTGCAGCGGCATGGTAGGTACTTGTGCCGAGGAGACACAGCCATGGGCATCTCCATGAAGCACAGTGCACAGTGTGCAGGCCACTCTTGGGGAGCATTTTCCAGCATTTGCACTAGTTTATTGCCACCTTTACTCCCCTACTCTGTCAATGCTTGTAATTGCCCTATTCTTAGAGTGATTCTTGTCTATCTTTTGAGAAGTTAAGAAAACTACGAAGATGTGGTTTCTTGTATCTTTACTAAAAGCATTTCATTATATACCCCAAATGAGTATGTTTTAGATGCTTAAAACTACTTTTTATTTAACTAGATTGTGTATGGATTAAAATCTTAAATATAGTACTTCAAAGACTGTATACTGTAGAAATACACTAAAAGAAGACATCATTCAGGATAACATCTAAAGCATCCTGCAGTCTTTGCACTTGTTTTAACTTAGGTTTTCTGATTGTCTCCTGAATAAACTACTCTTTAAGAGACTGTTCTAAATGGTTCCTTAAGAATGCACATTGCTTAAACAATTTTAAAGGACATTTCTTTTTGCTTTTTGAAAATAGCTTCTTAAAACAATGACAAGCTGTTGGGAAAAGGAAAAAGAAATGTAGGTCAGGTTTGTCACGCATAAACTGTAGTTACATGAAGTGATAGGCTGTCTTTCAACACTGGCCTTGGGACAGGAGTCCCTCAGCCTTCTTTTGGACTTTCAATAAGCACCCTACATACTAATGGGGGAAGTCAATAATCAGTTACAGCCTGTGGGGAAAACAGGCAGTGGCTTTCTCCGATAGCACATCAGGTTCAGCATTGACTGAGATATGTTGATAAAAGCTCACAGTTGCCAGTTGATTATCGAATCCCCTCCCACGCCCAACACTGGCACACCATCCACCTCAGCAAATGATTTTTAAGGCTTCTGCCACTAAGGTCCTGAAAAGATGATTTGAGAAGCAAGTCTTTATTTCTAAATGTAACATTATAGGATAATGCCAATGTTTGTAGAACATCCATATTTATTTTCAGAGGAAATTATACCATAAAAAATACATCTTTCCTTTTCAATTTGTTATACCCTTGTGTGAAAATACTTAATGAGATAGTTGGTTGTGTACTTGTGTATTTTTGTAGTTTTTTGTTTCTGAGACAAGGTCTTGCTTTGTAGACCAGGCTTGCTTCAAACTCACAGTGTGCCCAGACTGGCCTCACACTTGGAACAGTTCTGTCTGCTTCCTGAGTGCTGAGATTACAGGCATGTGCCATGATGCCAACTAGAATATTTGTTTTAGTAGCATTTAGCTGTGTTACTCATCAACTCTGGGGCTTGTTAAATTCTTTTTAAAGACCAATGAGATTTTGTAGACATTAAGAACCTGGTGAATGTATTCTTTTAAGGAATTTGCATTGATTTTCAAACATAGTTGGAATATTTATCTGGTCTTCCATAAAACTGTATTTCTGGCAGACTGTTGAGGTAGCATCATTTGAGAATCAGCTCTGTCTGTGGAGACTTTTCAACTGGCATGATGCATTTCTGTGGCTGTAGAGAAGCTGTGTCTATAGTATGTTGTATGTGAGTTGGTCCATCTTCATGAAGCCACTGAGTTCTGTTAGGGATGAGAGTTCTATGGTGGTGTTTTTGCACACCTTTATTAGTCTTTACTAATATGGGATGCCAGTTGGCTTAAGAGAATAATTCATACTAAACTGTACCCTAGAGAGTACAAGGCATGTATTACAGTGTCACTGCACTTTTGCCATTGTGTGGCCTGTTTTCCATAAAGATCCTGCAAGTGAAATTGGCTAGGAGTATGCTGTCCATAGAAAGGGGTAAGGAGGGGTCAGAAATTATAAAGTACTCTCTCCTTCTAGGGCATAGAGTAGGGAAACCAAAAATGGAAAGAAATGGGAAACTGGGTTTAAAAATGGGCTTTGCCTTTTTTAAAAAATGTAGATAATTACTAAATTGAGCTATTTTAGGAATAGAAATACAACTTTTAATGACATTTTAGTACCTCTCATATATAAATATTAAATACGTTCTCACCCAAAGCTCCAAATAGTGATTGCTCTGTTTTCCATTGTTGTTGGGGTTTTTTTGTTTGTTTGTTTTGTTGGCTTTTTTTGACAGGGTTTCCCTGGTCCCACCCCACCTGGAAGTCACTATGTATACCGGGCTGGCCTCAAGCTCACAGAGATCTGCCTGCCTCTGCTTCCCGAGGGCTGGGATTTAGGAAGGTGCCACCACACCCTATGTTCTGTTTGCATTGTAAATGATTACTGGCCTGCTGTTAAGAGAAATCGCTCTTATCCAAACATAACTTGCTATATGTAGACCTTTCATATCAGAAATACTTTTCCGAAGACTCACAAACAACTCAATATTGTTGTTTTAAATGCTACTGATATTAATATTTTCTTCTTAAACCATCTTTAATAAATGGCACAAAGAGAGAGAGAGACTTTAAAATCTTAACAGGATTTAGATTTGCTATAAGGAAAACCTCTGAAGGTGATAATTTGCTAAAGAGCAGTATATGATACCGAGAGAGAATTTTATAACCAGGTCAAAGCACTGTGTTTTTCTGCATCATCCCTGGGGACATGGAAACAGCTTTGATAATGAAGAACCCTTTTTTGCATGTGGTGGCAATTCCATATTAAAACACTTTTCTTTTGAGTGTGTGTTGAGTATGTTTGTTGCCTACCTGCCCTTAACTTGCAGTACAAGGTTCAGCTTTGTAATACTTGCTTTATTGGCTGATGTTAAGTGCTTTTTCATATTTCACAGTTCAGAATGGTATTCTTTTTTAAGAAGAGCCTTATCAGTAATGCCTACAGCCATAGAATTATACAGAAGATGATTTAAAGGAGCCCTTGACATCCATATTTCTTTGCTTCTCCAAAGAAGCTACCAATGGGCTCTTTCTTGTGAAGGAAGTACGATGGTAGGAGAGGTAGCTGAAAGTAAAAGAGAAAATTTTTTTCTCCCTCATTTCCATGTCTATTTTCTTGACATTTTAGGAAAGAGCTGATCAGACTGAAGGAAAAAACGTCTAAGAGAAGGACGAGTAATATTCAGTTCCCTAAGATTATACATTTTGAAAGCAATGTTAACTAATCAATTAGTTCCAGTTGGCATATTTACCTTATTGTTTGTAAAGACGCCTCCAAAGCTGCTTCCAGTGTCTGCTGGAAAGCATGTAGTCATCCAGGGCTGGGCTTTGCATTTCAACCAGACACACTTTGGAAAAAACTCTTTCAGGATTTACAAAATGTCCACATGAATAATACTGTTGAATAGATTTGGGTGCCTTTATAAATCTTGTGAGGAGTTTTCTCATATAGTAAGCACATGAAAAAAACATCAGAAGTATATCATGGGAAAATCAAAGGGATCATGATTCAATAGCTTTGTAATGTGCTGTCACGCAGATCTCGGTGTCTCAGTGGCTCTATAGAATGGCACAGCTTATGAGTTATTTCTCTGTCACCTGAAGAAGAACAAGTTTACAAATGCAGTTGATCAGATTAAACAATGTTTTTAAAAGTGGATTGTGTTTGGAATTCTTGACAATACATTATTTTATACTGAAATACATCTTGGTTCTCTAGTAGTGAATTGTTGGTGATGTACCTTCATCCTACCAAGTGGACAAGTACATAGATACCCCAAACAGCCTGACTCAGAGAAGGATCTGGCCAAACATAAAAAGAACACGTCTTTGCCCAAAGCTACTCTGCTGCTCTTCTTAGCTAGATCTAGTAAGTCATTCCTGGCATATTACTATATAATTCACTTCATTCATTTATTAGGATAAATATTTGTGGATGGAAGATAAAGAAATAAATCTTGTACCAATGAGGAATGTATCTTTAAAACCCCATGAATATTTATATATCAGAACACTAAATCTTAAGTGTAAAATTAGAATACTTTCTGAGGAAGGGCATTTATGTTAAAGACTGATTATCAGAAGGAAAAATAACATACTTTTAAGTGCAAATAATAGAAATTTGAGTTAACTGCTAGGAATCATAACTTGAGGCCAGTAGATGATTGTGTAAATTATGTCCCAAAGCTGACCTTTACAAAATACCTGAATTAGTCAGATTAGGATTTCAATTTGACTTTAGGAATTTCAAAATTGACTGTAAAAATTTGCTTCAGGTAAAAACTTGTAGATAAGCATCAGGAGGTGTCCCCCCAACCCCTGACTGTTTCTGGAAAAATAAGTATGTGAAATGATGCAGAAAATTCATGTAGACAGTTGAGACTGGCATCTTAGAGGGAGAAGAGAGTACAGATGAGACCTTCTGTGGGGTCCCCTGCCTCATCCTATTTGTCACTCATACTGTTTTACTTTCAGGTGAGTATAAATAACCATCTTTACAGTGCAAAAGTATTTTAAGATGTTTTCATTAATTTTGAATAAAAATTTTCTCGTTTCAAATAATAAGATGGAAGTCTGTGGGCAAAATTATAGTTGCAGTTCTGGTATATGTGAACACGGTTTGAAGGTCTAATTTAATAGTACCGACATGTAGGATTTTAGCAGGTTTTTATTTTCAACTTCTAACCACTCTCTCAATTTCTGTTTGGTTACTTAACCCAAATGGGTTGACCCTGATGGGTTCAAAATCAACAGCAGTCACTTTCCTAATAGTTTTGAGGTTTTTTGTAGACTTGAAACCTGGTTACTCTGGTTACTTCTGTTTTATCTATTTGCAATTAATTGATAAGTGAGACACTCCAGGTGGTACTTCCTTTTTCAGTGTTTCTCTTTCCTAGGTAATATTTATTCTCACAGCTACCATAGCAGCCCCTCCTCATGCTATAGCACATACCCTGAATATTCCCACAGTTACTAAGTGGTCTTCCATTCTCTACCCCTGCCTTCTCCCACAGTCCTATACATTTTAATTATACCATTTTTTTTTCTTTTATTCAAGAACCTTTGTAACTTCCTCCTCCCCGAAGACAGCATTTACCTGAAATTTAAATGGGGAAGAAACTCCTAGGATTGTCCCTGTCACTTTTTCCACCTTTATCGCCTACTACACACTTGAAGTGAATCTTCTCTGTGGGGCCATTGAGAAGCTCCCAGCTCTGCTGATGAACTGCATCTTGTTATTCAAGCCATCTTCCCATTTTGATTCTTCACAACATAGTCTCTTCAAAATCTATCCCATCTCTCTTCTCTGATGATCTAGTCTATTGTCATTTCTGCCCTCTAAAGTTAATTCATAAAGTTAGCTTTAACTTTTTTCTCTGGTTACTATCTTTTGGTTCTGTTTGATACTTTGCAACAGCCAAAAGAAGTTACATATAGTATGCTTTTGATAATAATAGGTTAGTTTTAATGGGACTAACAACAGTTATGAAACCAGACAGGGTCAAGAGTTGCTACCTTCCTACAATGGAACTTGAAGCTTTTCCTTTACTAACAATGGATTGGGTTTTATCATTTTCCTATATTCTGTTATAGAGAGTTCAACACAAAGAGTATAATTTATTTATACATTATTCAGTATACATTTATAGCAAGCCAGAAATTGTCCTTTTAAAGATTTAAAAAATATATATTTTTAATTCCTTGTAAGGAAAATGGTATCTATTTCCCAGAGAAAGAGTGAAAGGGTTTGAGAAGTTAAGTAATTTGACTGAGGGCACATATTTGAGAGCGAGGAATTTAAAGCCATTCTCTCTGGTTATCAGGCTTCCAAGTTTTTACATGTTGTATATAGTACACTTTTTTTTATTCTAAATAGTTAGAGATGAGGTGTTTTGATGACCAGAACAAGAGGATGGGTCTACGTCTGCTGCTATTCTATCTACTCTATAGTGAAAAGACGGAATTCCACTTTTGAGCTTCAGTGATACCAAGATTGGTACTGTCTTGTCTTGGCACTTTTTTCCCTCCTTCCTTCCTTCCCTCCCTCCCATCTTACTCTCTTCACTCCCCTCTCTCCTTCCCTCCATCGTTTCTTCCATTCATTTTATTATTTTCTGCCACCGGATCTCACTTTAGCCCAGGTAACTTGAGCTCCCTGCCCTGCCTTGGCCTCCAGAGTGCTGGGATGAGAGGTTCACAGGTGTGCACCATCAACTGGGGGCATTCCTTACCTTTCTTGAGCACCAGGTTTACATCTACTTTGTAAGATTGCCACAGTTAAGTTCATACTTAAGTTCTAAGTTTATAGCTTTTCTTCAGTATGGAAAGCCTTGTAATTGTGACTTCAGTTTTATCTTGGAAAAGATTATAAGACTTTATAACTTAATAAACAGTTTTCAAATTAAATGTTGCCTAATCTTCAGTCTTTCATCAGAGACTCCCCAGAGCAGAGACATGGTAAGAACAAGCAGTGATTACTTTCAAATTCTTCAATATTTGAAAAATCTAATTTCATGTAGTGAAATAATTTTTAAGAATGATTGTTTTAAAATTGAATTACTTTTTTTTAAATAGGAAAATACTGAGCTAGACCTGAGGGTGCTTTTCATTTACATACATACACATGTATTTATGCTTAGAATAAATAGTTCATTTTTATTCATTTGAAATGGCATAAAAATAAAAACAGTGGACTAATTGCCACAAGAGCATTTTGAGGGAGTAACTACTGTTTGAGCAGCATGACATTGCCACACAGGATTAGGACACACAGAGCTGTGGATGGACTTGATCTTTTGGCCAGTGTTCAGTTGAATGAGACTTTTAAACACCTCAGCCATAATGAATAAAGTTAAAGTTCCTCTCCCCTATAGTATTAGGTTGCTGTTATTTTTAAATTTTACTTTAAAAAAAATTGTAGCTATAGTTAGAATAGTTTCTTGAGATTAGAAATTCTATTATTTAGATATTAAACAAGTTGGTTTAGAAATTTTACTATCATTAGGAAGAAGTTTTAAAAGACTGGAATTCCATTGTCTTGTAAGAAGTAAGAAATATTTATTGATTCCCAAATGGGGCTGAAAAACCTTTCCTCTTTTGGAAGGCTGTGAATGACTCAGCGAGAGCTCTAGTAAGCTTTACTGAACCAAGCTGCTAATAGTTATTTAATGTTATTCGTCAGTGTGAAAGAATCTCTGTAGATTTTCCTTTTAATCTCTTTGAATTGTGGGCTCATAAACCTCTCTGATGAGTCCTGCCAGTGTTTTCTTAGATCCCACTGTTGAGACAATGGAGCCACAGAATTCTTTCACCTCTTGTCAGACAAATCCAATAGAATGCAAGGTCAGGAGGGCCTACACTTCTAAAGGTTGAAAGATTCTTTTTCAAGTAACCACATAAATTATTTGATTTTTATCAATCATTCTATTCCTCAGGAACCTCTCTCTGCTGTAATGCACTGCTTTCGATACATAAAAGTAAGATTGGAAGGTTTGTTTTTGACTCATTTGGCACAGCACAAAGTGAACAGACCTTAATGTTCCTAGATATCTTAGAAAAGCTGAACCCATTTTCTTCTAAAGAATCAAATCATGTAGAGTCATTGCACTCAAGACAGAGTACAAATGCCAGGCAATACTTTTTCTTTACAAAAGACTGTGGGTTTGTTCTTTTTGGTTTTCATTTGTTTCCTTTAAAAAACCAAAGACATAAAAAAGGGTACTATTCTATAGACAAGATTCAGCTTTAAAATCTTGGATCTGGCCTGGTCCTTAAAGTCAGTTTGTTTTCTCAACATTGTTAGTCGTGTCATATTACCATAAGGATTTGTATTTCTAGATTTACCTATTAAAATGTTTCAATGCAATGAACAAAAGCTGTATATAATATGTAATACTACAAAACAAAACTAACTTACCTGTTTTGAAGATGCCATGACTGATTAGTATGTAATTATCAAAGCTAATTACAGGGTTCCTGTGAGTAACTTTAGAGGAGTGAGAAGAATTAAGTTTTTAATTATAACCACAATGGTGAACAAGCAGAGATCATTGTTTAAAAAGAAAGAAAGAAAGAAAAAACACATTGATTTGTTTGTACTCTATCCTTGTAATTGTAGTGAGGGTTGGAATGGTGGGCTGGAATTTGCTTTGCCCTATCCTTGGACACCTGCCTCTCAACAAAGGATCTTGGTGACCCCCCACTGTCCACATTTAGATTCACCTTTTACTTGTTTTTACCAAGTCTGCTCATTATACAGTTCTCCAGGGATCCAATTTTCCCCTGAGTTAATCATCCCCGGCATTTTTCAAGAAGTTGTTAGATTAATGTCTTTTCAAAGGATGGTAACTCTTCCTTCTTGAAAATCTTATTTCTAGTTTTTAGAACAGAGCCATTAGACTGTTCTTAAAAAACTTACTGTTGAAGCATAACATACGTACATGTGGAGAGGGGAAGAAATGAGTATAGCTTGATAGATGTAACCAGAAGGCTCCTTGTGACTTCCAGAAGCATTCCTTGCCCCTCAGTACCACAGGGAAGCTTTGTCTGGCATGTTTCATACTACGTGTTCTCTTTAATGCCAGACACTGACTTTTAAAACTAGTTGCTCATGGATTATGTACACCTGGTATTGAAGAATCAAAGTCAGCATACACGTTTACATAGCCACAGAACTAGAACATATTCCTTTTGACTCTGACCTTCTGCAAGGTACTAGCCATTTTTATGTGCTATTTTCCCTTTCACCATGAGCTTGTCTATGATAATTTTTTAACCAGGAGTCCTATTCTAAAGTCCCTGTGCATAGGGAGAAAGAGGAAGAGCAATTTAGTAAAACATGGGTGAAATAACAGAAAGAGTTGTACAGGAAATAGTAACTCGATCAAAATAACAGTAGCCTCCCAGTGGAGCGGCATAACAGAAGCTGACCTGCTTGGCAGTTACATTTGCAAGGGAGTTTTCACTTATTATTTTAAAGAAAAAGGACATTGTGGGTATTTATAAATGTTTATCTTTTCTGCAGTTAATCTATTCCTGGGTATTTACGACAGGTTAGGGCAAGAAAGCCGATTGACCTGGTCTGCTTTGCTTTTAATTGATCACAAAAGATAAATGTAAGAGAGCCTAATAACTTGGTTGTAAATTAATGACACCTGCTTGTCCTCTAAATAGGATCTATTCAGTGTCAGGACCTCTATTCAAATTTTAATTTCTTAATTTTAGGAGAGTTGGTTCTTCTGAGTACGAGATTAAAACATTTTTTTTCTATCACTGAGATCTTTGATTAATTTTATTTTATAAATGGGATGAACACACCAGGCATGTTGGCTCATGCCTATAATCCCAACATTCAGGAGATAGAGGCAAGAAGACTGCTATGACTTGGAGGCCAGCCTGAGCTACACACATAGTAAATTCAAGTGTAGCCTGGACTGTAAAGTGAGGCCCAATCTCAAAACAAAACAACAAAACCCAACATGTATACTTTGTATAGAATGTGGAAAATAAATTGTGGGAAACAACTTGGCTCACTGTAAATTATGGATAAGCTATTCATTGGGAACAGAGAGATGGAGGAGCTAGCTCAACCACAGACAAAGTCTGTGTCTAGATTTTAGGGGCACTTTAATAGACTCTTGGTACCAAGTAAATATGACATAGTATAATATTTGACATATTTTAATAGAAAACCATGGTAGGTTCAAAATATTGTATAATCTTTTCATCTATTTTAAAACTGTGTAACTCACCAATAAATTTTGAGCAGGCAGTTATTAAATATAATTAAATTGTAGGCATTCACACAACTGAACAAAGGGAAGCATTCCTAGCAAGTGAATAAGAGACTAGTGAGACAGCAAGAGAAGACTGTTTTAGAGATGGGGGTTGCTGGATTTCAGTAGTCTTTTTCTTTTCATACAGCATTAACTTCTCAAAGAACAATGCACAGATGCAGGAAATACAGCATGCCTTTGAAAACAGAGACAAGCGCTTCCCACCTGTAGTTGCTTTCTTTGCCCAAAGTCCACCTGTTTAAAGCTTGTTTGTGCTACGCAGACCATACTCTTAGCATGTTTAGAGCTTCATGTGTGTGCTACACAGGCAATACTCTTAGCATGTTAAGACTCAAGGATCCTTTGGATTGTCTATGTGCAGAGAAAATACTGGCCCAGAAAACAGCAAGAGAACAACAGAGCACACTTGTCTTGTGAGATTATTGCAGCATTCAAGCACTTTTCTGTTTGATTACTTACCATTCTTTTACGAGCAGATGACTAATAATCCCTTACATTTTTGAAGAGCTTTATTCTTTGAAGCACTTTTAGCCTGATCTTGTTTAATTTGAAGAATACCCATTAGTCTGCTTGGGCTGCCATAACAAAATACCACAGACTGGGCAGCTAAACAAAATTTCTCATAGTTCTGGAGGCTGAGAAGTTCAGGATGGTGTTGGTCAGTCCTGTCCTTATGCAGACAGCTTCCTTGCTGTGTCCTTTTATGGCCTTTCCTCCATAACTGGGTGGTGTGGAGAGAGGTCTCACTCTTCCTCTGCAGCTGTGAAAACAGTAAGCTAGCTTGAAAATGGCAAATAAAGGAGTGCTAATGGCCACGCTGAGCTGCTGTCTCTCCGCGTTCTTCACTGTCACAGTTGTCTCATTTTATGTTTTACAGAAGAGGATCTAAGAAATATGGGACCAGTAGATGCACAAATACATCTTGAAGAAATGTCTTGGAACAAAGGTTGGATTTTATTTACTTTTACTGAAGAGAAAGATTAGGATTTCTTTTTTTTTTTTTTTTTTTTTTTTTTTTAGGAAATCAGGATATTTGGAAATTATAATGGCTTCACCTTCTTCTGTTTGGCTTGTTTTTAGTTATCAACTTTGTTTATTGATGTCTTTCCAAATGACTCATTTCTGGTTATTTCTCTGTTCTAATCAAGTATAGAAGGGTTTCTTTTTGTTTTTACTGATTTGTTTTTTGCATTACTGTCTGTAATAAGGTTAGAAAAAGTCAAAAATATTTTTTTTCATGCGGACAATTGAGGTGAATTCTTGTAAGAATTTCTGTTTGCCTTTATGTGGAGTTATAAACTGTTAAGACAGATCTTTTTAATGCTATGATCTGCTTTGAAAGAGTTTGCTGTTTCTCTTTACTCTCACTTTCTTTGTTGTTTTTCTTTGTTTGAGACAGGATCTCACATATCCCAGGATAGCCTTTAGCTCTTTATGGAGCTGAGGATGACCCTGAACTTTGGATCCTCCTGCCTCTACTTCCTAAGTATTGGAATTAGAGGTGTGAGCCACCACATACCATGTGTATAGTATTGGGATTTGAACCCAGGGCCTCTTGCATGCTTGGCAAGCACTCAGCCAACTGACCTACATCAGCAGCACTTCTCTCACTTTCTGATTGTCCAGGAGAAATAAAAAATTCTGTTACTTCCAATAAAGTCATGTCTTTTCCCCATTTTCTATTACTAGAATTTTAAAATAGTATTAACCAGTTGAATTCCCACGATCTTCAATGATATCTGAATTGCCATGGCCAGGCATCGTTATATTAGGAAAACACATCTTTCTAAATAGAAGCAATGAATGTCATACTTCAGTGCTTTTCTGGGAAAACAAAATTACTATTTCCAAGAACTGTTATGTACTCTTAACTCTATAAACTTATTTTTCAACGTAGGGTACAATTCCCCTAAAGGCTTATAAAAACTGACTAATGAAGCCAGACGTGGTGGTACACACCTTTTATCCCAGCACTTGGGAGGCAGAAACAGGTGGATGGATATCTGTGAGAATGAGGCCAATTTGGTGGTGTACACCGTGAGTTCCAGGCTAGCTGGGGCTACAGGGGGACCTTTTCCCAAAACAAACAAAGAAAACCAAAACAAAACAAAATTCGCTGATATGTGGGTACTATGATAAACAGAGCCACCTTCCTTGAAAACAAGCTTACTCTTTTAATGGCAAATTATAAACTTAGTGATCTAAAGAAGTGAGTCAGGAGGCATGCTGACTTAGAAGAATTGTGTTTTGGCCTATAGGCCCATTCTGTCTACACTCATTCAAATGAAGGTCTGGTAGAGAAATCCATTCACATTTCCAGTGGACAATGAGGAGTTTCGAGGTCTTATGTAAGTAGGGCTCCCATGGCTGGTAAAGTCTCTTGGGAATGGAGGAGGAGCACTGTTGAACACAACAGTGGCACATTTGTCCTCACCAGTTTGTGAAGAAACAACCTAGAACAGGACATTTGTTATGGATTTGTCCAACTAAATGTATTTTCAAAAACAGGCTCTGCCTCCACATGAATCAGTATTTGTATGTGTGTGCTTAGATGTGTTTAATCTTATTAAATTTTGACAGTTGATAACATTTTACTTCCTAGGGGTTTCTGATAGTGTGAAAACAGCAAAAACTGGTTTTCATAATTTTTCTTTTTGTTAGTTACCTTTGAGCAATTTGGTTACTATAATTTTAGAATTTGTGGTTTGTTTTATTGAGGCAGGGTCTCATGTCAGCCAGGCCTCAAACTGGCAGCACAGAGGAGGAAGACCTTTAACTCCTGGTCCTTCTGTTTTTAACCACCCCCGCCCCCCGCCGCCCCAGTGCCACAATTACAGGCATGCCCCATCATACCTAATCTAAGACTTTATTTGAAAATAAAAAATGGATTTGTGGTTTAGTTAATAAATACATAGAGTTCCTGATAGAAGTGAAAGTACCTAGGTAGCTCATGTGTTGGCCAAGAGGGTGATGTTGGGATGTTTCTCCCAGTCGCTTCCCCACCTTACTTTTTGAAAAAATCTTTCACTGAGCCCAGATCTAGCTGCTTCTGCTAGACTGGCTGGCCAGTAAGACAGGTGGAGGATATCTGTCTCCACCCTCTCCCCTGTGATTTGTGCTGCCACTCTCTACTTCTATGTAGATGCAGGAGATCAAACCTAAGTCCTCATACTTGCACAGCAAGCACTTACCCCACAGAGCTCTCTCTCCAGCCCCTCCTAAAATAATCTTCACAGTAAAGATGAGCTACAAGAATCCTAGCTACAGCCAATGGATCAATAAGTAGATAGAGGATATCTAAGGCTGGCTGGGAATGTTGCTTTATGGTGGATAGAGTGCTTGTTTCACATGCTGAGACCCTTGGTTCAATCCCCAGTACTGCCAAAAGGAGAAAGGGTGAGGAGTAAAAAACATAACATCTTTGATGCTCATTTAAATTGTTTTTATTATTTTAAAAATGGAAATAATCCTTTTCCTAAGAGAAAAGAGTGAGAAATAGCTGCATGAAGCCTGGGTTCTTTTTAAATACCATGCTATTTATTTATATTTATTTATTTACTTACTTTTATTTAGTGTGTTTTGCCTGCATGCATGTAAACGTACCTGTGTGTGCAATACCCATTGAGGCCAGAAGAGGGTGTTGGATCCCAGAACTAGAGTTATAGATGATTGTCATTCACCATGGAGGTGCTGCTCTGCAAAAGTAGCCAGTGCTCTTAACCACTGAACCATCTCTCTAGCTCTGAAACCTGGATTCTTATAGCAATATTTAAAAATATAAGTGTTAAACTATTTTTTTTTGCACTTAGAGCAATGTTAGTATGAAGTTAGCATGAAGTTAAATAAAAAGTGTATCAAGTGCACAAGTTGAAATTATTTGGATTCCTTTAGGGTCATTTTCAGAAATTCTTGGATGATGAATTTTTTGCTAGAAAAGCACAAGTTGATAAATATGTGCATGATAGATCCAACCAAATGATGCATTTTATTATGTGTAAAGGTGTACCTGGAACCACTGAGAGACTGAAACTAACCTTTCCCCTTACTGTTAGCCTTGGTCATTTTATTTTCAAACACTGTATGTAAAATGATTTTTTCTATGATGATAATGTTTTAAGACCTCAGTGAAGATAAGAATTTTCAACAAAATATGAAGTTGGGAGTATCTGTGACAAATCTCCACAGTAGTCCACGGTGTCCTCTGTGCCATTTATGAAGCAAATGTCACCTCAGATTGTTTCTCAGTGTTCACTGAGATGGTTACAAAAAGTGGGGAAGATTTAGCTTAAGAAAAACAATGGCTATACCAGACATGGTGGCTTCTGCCTGTGACCCCAACATTGGAGACCGAGGCAAGAACACTGCAGAGAATTTAAGGCCAGTCTGGCTACACTGTAAGACCCTGTCTCAAAAAGTAAGTAAATCATTTTTAAAAAGAAAAAGAAGGAACAAAGAAAGAAGAATGAGCAAGAGGAGGAGAAAGGGGAAGAGGGCTAGTCAGCTTTATCCCAGGGATGCACATGGTGGAAGGAGAGAACCAGCTCACACAGGCTGTCTTCTGACCTCCACACACATGCCATGGCATGTCACAAACATACACACACACATGCACACATACACATGGGTTAAAAAGGATAAAAATCAGTTTTCCGCTTTTTTAGAATTAAAAAAGTCACTTTGAAAACATGCTTTGTTAGTACATATATGCTCATTTAGATATAAATTCAAAATTAAATTATTTTTAAGAAGACACACATGTTGTGATAAAGAATGAAAAAAGATTTGAAGTGAATAGAATTAGGCATTTTTTATTAAAATAAAGCACATAAATCTGACTTAATTGTTCATTTTTCCAAGAATTTGATATAGAACAAGTTCAAGGCAGCTGGATCTGAATCTTCCTCCCTCTCAGCTCCCTCTGTATATAAGGAGCTCTAAATGCCAGGCAACTTAGAAATTGTTGAAGCTATTGTAGGATCATGTGCACATTGAGAGTTCATTTATCATTAATAAGTTACGATAGCAATAGAAAAGACTATAGACTGGTCAGTTGTCTTTCTCTGGTAACTATACTATTTCCCAGAGAGTAAAACAGAATACCAGAGGTATCAGAATTTTTCTTTCAGGAAATAGTAGCATTTAATCTTCCTAGGAAGATGACAAACTTAAAATTTCCACCATTTCTAGCTAGCTGTGATTTCAGGATTTCTGCAATCCTGTCACTCCAGAGGCTGAAGCAGGAGAGCTAGCATTCCAGGCCACCTGTGCTTTACAAATAAAATTTAAAGAGCCGGTGAGTTTGCTTAGTGAGTAAAGGGACTTGCCACCAGGCCTGACCCCTGGAACCCACATGGTGGAAAGAGACTGACGCCTCTAAGTTGTCCTCTGACCTCTGCTCTCTGCCATGGCATGTTCATGTGCGTCCCCCCCAACCCCAAATACATGTAACAAACATTTTTGAAAGACTCAAAAAAATCCATCATTGGATGAACTATTTGCCTGTGGATTTCCTAATGGCACTAATAACCAAGCAAATAGACAAACATTTGTAATTTGTTGGAAAAACAAACAAACAAAAGCCCAAACACTCTGTCTGGTGTTGTGTTTATATATTTATGAGTCAGGATTCTTAAAAATTATGTGAAATCAGAACAGAAAGTAGACAGCTTGAAAAACAGTTGAGGTAGCAGTTCTCTCCAAAAGGAGAGGTAAAGTATGATGCTCCTGAAAATTGAGATAGGAGGGGTTTTCTTTCATCCTCATTGTAATATCAAATAAATATGAAAAAAATCATCACTTGCTTCTGAGCATTCGTTGCCCCCCACCCACCAAAAAAAAAAAATCTCTGAACATTGATTGATAGGATCAGGCCATCTCCACTACAAATAAAGATTTTTGGTAGATAATTTTTTAGAAATAATGCCCCATACAAAATATTTTTATAGGTTCTCTTTTAAACACTTTTATTTATACTCAGTTTCTTTTCTATTTTGTAATTTCTCTGGCATCAATTCTGTGTTTTGAAGGGTGTTAGAAAAGTAGCTGGTTGCAAACATTTGAAGCATTATTTTGTTTTCTTTGCAGAAGACTGTTCTTTCTGTCTGAGCTGCCGCTGTGGTGGGAAATACAGTGTCTCCAAGGATGAAGCAGAAGAAGTCAGCCTGATTTCTTGTGATACATGTTCACTAATTATAGAACTCCTTCATTACAGCTAGATTGGTTTGCTACTTGGAATCCTTTAGCTGTGTATTCAGTGGGATCAGAACAGGCCTCTGAAGCTTGATCCTTTTTTTTGTTAGCTGCATAGTTTGCAAAGATAATATAAAATCATCAAGCAAAGGCAACCTCAACTTAACAAAAAAATAATTCAGTTGTTTGCATGTACTTATAATGTATAATTACAGGGTGCCACAAAATGACTTGAATTATAAATTACATTTTGTGGATTCTCACCTGACAACTCTTGTTTTCTCCTTGACACAAATAAGAAATTTCTTAATATAAGTATGTCTCTTTTTTGGATAACAGTATTCTTCTTTCAGTATTATAGTTACTAAGGTTTTTTTTTTTTAATTTTTAACTTTTTATTTGTGTGTGTGTGTGTGTGTGTGTGTGTGTGTATAGTATGCACACACCATTGCATACGTGTGGAGGCCACAGGCCCTATACAAGGATTCAGTTCTCTCTTTCCACCATGTAGGTCCCATGGATCAAATTCAGGTCCTCAGACTTTGGCCACAAATGCTTTTACCTGTCTGAGCCATCTCACCAGCCCCATTTATTAAGTTTTTGACTGAACAGATAATGTTCTTAGTTAAAGTTATAAGCCCATTGCATACCTATTTCAAATTCTGAGGTGATTTAAATTAAATGAGAATCATCATAAACAGTATGAACAGGCTTGCCCCCAAACAGTGCTGGGTGTGGATCTCCATGAACATGTGTCTGAGTTAGGGACAAAGGTGAAGTGGCATCTGCAGAACAAGGGATGAGCTTTCGAGGGAGAAGCCTGACCCCGTCCTTTTCTAGACCTTATCAATACAGCCATCTCCAATTCTAAATGTCATTTAAGAAATGGAAACTTTAGAAAAATTGAAATTTGAGTATCTTTTTATTTCAGAGTATTGAAATATAGTATTAATTACCTCAATTTATAAGTAAGGAATCATTCATTATTGGTATGATGAAATGAACTTTTATAATGAATTATTATTGACTACGACAGACTGTAAATAACATACCCTAAATGACTTCTCTTTGTATTTAACATTTTGTGTACTGTGTAGGCCAGAATTCATTTTAAGACCATTGAAGGATCCTTTATGAGATTGCTGAAATTTTTCTGAACTTTACAAGTTCAAGCAAGTAAGGAAGCAGCTTTTTTTAAGGTTTAACTCTTGGTGTTGTCAGACTGAACTTAAAATAAGAATAGTTACTGTTCTTTCTTGTAAGGCAAGCTAAAGTATGAGGCAAATTCAAGAAAAATGGATTACCTTCATTATATGTAACACCAAAGTTCAGTGTGAGATAGTCATCCAGATTTCTCCCCAAAATATTTTTTTTGTCTTTCAAAAATTTAGATGGAAAATTTATTTTGAATTACATTTTTATCTAAATATTTTCAATTATTGGAGCTTTTACAGTGTGATGCTTACTCTTAAACAATTAAAAATAAATAAAACCAAATAGCAAATAATTTATTGGTAAGTTCATGGTTTGAACTGCAGTAATAAACTCATTTGAATAGAAGACAATAATCAAGTAAAAAAAATTATGCTTGCTAATCATCAGAAAATCTGTGGCCATTTGGGCTGTCACGCAGAAATCCAAAATCACTGAAAGGCCAAATCTGTAAAATCAAAACATGGTTGAAGACAATTAGTGAAAATTAAATCATCCTCATCTTCCCTTTTCCTTTTCTCCATGTTAGACAATTAAATGCATTGTCTTCAGTCATCAGTCGAGAATAACATTTTCACCATCAGAGTAAGACTTCTGAAAATAAACTTGCATATTCAGAATTTAGAGCATTTATGCATGATATAAGAAACTATTTTTGTATAGTAAATAAATAAAAATTTGTGAATTTGTGTCTGTTTTCTTTTACCATCCTTAAGCAAGTTACACTTTCAGATATAGTACCTGATGCTTGGGGTACTTGAATATGGCATCCGTTTAAGTATAACAAACTCCTAAATTACCCAGTTACCCCAAGAATTCCTGTTTCCCTTGTGATAAAAAGTGGAAGCAGGTGTAGTAATGCACACCTGAATTCTACCATATCTGTAATCCTAAACTTATGAGGCAGAGACAGGAGGATGAAGAGTTTAAGGCCAGCCTGGACTACAGAGTGAGACACTCTCTCCAAACAAGCTATATTCATCAATAGTGGAAAAGTCAGTAAAGACAACAGTGTCATCTAAGACCTGTATATTCCCTCTAGGCTGTAAGTCCATGGCTCAATGTATTTAACTGGAGAGTATCTGCATTACAAGCAGTCTGAGTCTAAACTTTTACTCTGCAGATGTTCACTGAAATGGCCAGGATGTGACTGTAGGTATAAAAGTCACAGAAGAGCGAATTCAATTTTATAAAGGCAAAGGTTTCTTGGACTATAGCTAACATAGTTTGGGTTTTATTATTAAAAATTTTTCAGTTATCCCCCAAAGAGTAAGAGTGGGGGAAAAGGATGTTTTATACAGACCTATAAGTAGAGAAAAAATGTTCATAAAATGAGGTCAGTGTAGCAGTTAAGTCAACTTGACAGCCTGTAGATTTCTAAGTTCATTTTGGGAAACTCCTTTCCCTCCCAACTTAGAGAATAGGGATAAAGCTGGGATCAAAAAAAAATTTATTTTTATTTTATGTGTATGAGTATAATGCCTGCACGTAGGTGGGTACACCCATGTCATACAATGCATGTGGAGTTCAGAAGGGGGCATCGGATCCCTGGAACTGGAATTACAGACTGTTAGCTTCCATGTGGGTGCTGGGAATCGAACCCAGGTCCTGTGCAAGAGCAGTCAGTGCTCTTAACTGCTGAGCCATCTCTCCAGCCCTAAAGGTGGCATTTTTAAGCAGAAAACCATACCTTAAAGAAGATCCGTCCTCTTATTAGTCCATATGGTATAGGTCCATAGTACCTGGAGTCTGTAGAATTCTGTAAATTATCACCTTCTAACCAAACATGACCTCTTGGCACCTGGAATTAGTAAAGAAAAGCAGGTTCTTTAAAAACAGTAAAACCTAACCAGGGTACTACCATTAAAAATCATGTCATTTAAGGGCCAGGCATGGTGGTATACACATAAAATCCCAACACTTGGGCAACTGAAGCAGAGGGATTGCGAGTTCAAAGCTAGCCTGGGCTACATGGATTGTACTAAAAAAAAATCATTTGGAGGTGGGGGAAATGCCCTAAAGTCAGTCATATCATAAAATTTGCATTTTTCCTTTCATTTCTTACATAATACAGTAACTAAATATCAAAGGTTTCCACATTTTAAAAAGATCTTTTTATTATATGGTTCCCAAGCATTAATTTGTTGTACAAACCTCAAAGTAAGATTGTAAGAAATCAAAACAGTGTGACAGGGTCATTAATTTAATAGACTTCAAAAGAGGTCATTAGGATGCTGACTGAAAATGTACCCTTCTGTCGTAATAACAGTATAAGCAGAGCAGCCACTCAGCAACATCCTGGGGCCAGTACCAAGGCCAGACCTATTAGAATGCTCATGATGAACTAAGCGGTAATGGATTGTGACATCAATTACAAATAATCTCATCATGCTATTGGAGTGGGCTTGTCAGAATTCTAATTAAGATCCCTGTTCTGCCTTTGAACAGTCCATATCTTCAATGCATTATATTTTGATAATGACCATCAAGAATCAGAAGGACCTATTATAAAATCATCAATTGTAAAATTGATGGTGACCTTCTACTAAATGAAAAGTCCTGTGTACTAACTGGTAAATAAGTTTAAGAGTTTACTCAATTACAATAGTATTAGAACAAATGTATTACTTTTTAATAAATGCATTCCTTTTGTTCAATATAAACTTAAAAGGTACTTTCTGGCAACAATTTTACAACACCTTTTTTGAGTTTTTTTTTTAAAAATAATTTTTGTTACCCAAGAAAAGTTGATTTACTGGAGAGACCCAAACCATCTACTAGGAAGGAATTTACTTTCATCATTTTTAATAGCATTTAATAGGTGACACTGTAATTTAATTTTTGTATGACAACTTAGTTTTTTGAAAAATTTATGTAAGAATTTAAAATTTTAATTTCATTTTCATAAGATACTTGTGGAATATCTTGATTAGAGGAACGGATTTCAGGTCCTAGAGGTGATACCAAGTTTGTAGTACCTATATCATAAAATGACTCAGGCAGGGAAGTATAAGACTGCTTCAGCAGAAAAGCAAGCTCACCTCAGGTCACACCAAAAATGAAGAGCAAAACAGTGAACTTGCAAGGCTGGATGCAGCTAATATAACCTGAAGGATCGCTGTGGAGAAACTATAAGATAAAGAGCTTTTGGGACTGGAGAGGCTCAGCAGTTAAAAACACTGGCTGCTCTTGCAGAGGACCCGGGTTCAATTCTCAGAACTGACATGGCAGCTAACAGCTGTCCGTAACTCCAGTTCCAGGGGCTCCAACACCTTTTTCTGGCCTCTGTGGGCATTGCTGCACAACATGGGTGCACTTCCATACACATAGAAATAATTTTATAATTATTTATTATAGGGAAAACATACACATAAGAAATAATTTTATAAAAAAGAGCTTTCGATTTCTATAGTTTCTCAAGCGGTTTGTACCTGGTTTCTAAAAATAGGTAATGTGCTGGATAGCTTTAGTGTCAATTTGACACACCTGGGTTGAGGGACCCTCAATTGGGGAATTCCCTCTATTGGACTGGCCTGTGGCCATGTCTGAGGGGCATCTTCTTGATGAGTGATGTGGGAGGGCCCAGCCCACTGTGGGTGGTGCCACCCCTGGGCAGGTGGGCCTGTGTTGCATAAGAAAGGAGGCTGAGCAGGGGCCAGGGGAGCAAGCCAGTAAGCAGTGTTCCTCCATGGCCTGTGCTCCAGCTCCTGCCTCCAGGTTCCTGCCCCTATTTCCTACCTTGGGCTCCTGGATGAACTGTGACCCGAGATATCTAAGCTAAATAAACCCTTTTCTCCCCGAGTTGGTAGTGGTCAGAGTATTTTGTCACAGCAATGAAGAAACAAACTAAGACAGGTAATATGTATGAATACATATGGGACATCGGTAAGAACAAAAGATAGACTTTACAAATAAGGCAATACTGACACCCTCTATCTCACTAACCATAAACCAAGACCTATGATGTATATAACTTCCACCTTGCCATGCAGTTGCCCCCCAAATTTGCCTGCCCATGCTGTATTTCCTGATTGTTTAAAGCACTTTCTATATAAAGCCAGCCTTACATGAAGGCACTGGATTATAACATTTGCTTTTGTGTTTTTTATTTGGGGATTTAAAAAAATTATTTTTATGTATATGAGTGTTTTGCATGCATGAATCCCGGCCCTCTACAAGAGCAGCCAGTGCTCTTAACTGCTGAGAAATCTCTCCAGCCTCAGATTTAAAAACAAACAAACAAACAAAAAACAAAGCAAAAAAACCCAGGATCTCATTTAGCCTGGTCTCAAACTCTGTTTAACTAAGAGGATATCCCTGAATCCCTGCCTCTACCTCCCAAGTGCTAAGATTATAGACATGCACCACATTCCTGGTTTTATGTGTTGCCAGGGACTGAACCTAGGGCCTCATTCATTTTAGGCAGTCACTCTACTAACTGAGCTACTCCCCAGCCTGCTTTTGTTTAACTCTGTTTTTGAGGGGATACCCAAGTACAGTAATGTGACAATTTTAAGTTTTTTGTGTTTTTACATTGTTATTAGATTTTTGTCAAGCTTATGGCAAGAAATAGTACCTTTTCATTTTCTTTTGTCTTTTTTATGCTGTGTGTGTGAGAGAGGTCAGATTTTGAGTAGGCCATATGTCTTCATATTAAAAGCCATGTATAACTCTTTTTTTGTGTGTGTGTTTACTGTCATTAGGGGGCATTAGCCCTGGAAGAGGGCGTAGAGTATATATGCTGGGGAAGACTAAGGAGGCTCCATTGGAACACCTACGGGAAAGTCATCATTCATGCTGGAGGGAAGACTTTCCTGTGTGGCCTTAGGAGAGCACTCACACTCCTGTATGTAACCTCTTACCCACTGCTCTGGAAGTTAGCCCAAAAATTCATTGGTTTCATGAAAAGTATGATTTATTTGGGGAAAATCCTGTTTGTTACTGAGACTCGGGAGTGGACGTTGTTTACCACCACCAGCCCCACCCCAAGGAATTTTAGCCACATTTTTTTTTTAAGTTATTTTAGGTATTAATCCTGTCATATGTGTAGCTAGACACTTTCTCCTACTCTGTAGTCTTTCTGTTCACTTGGTTATTTCCTTTGCAGTGAGAAACTTTAGCTTCATGCACTCCCATTTGTTAATTCTTGGTATTACCTCCTGTATTAGTTACTCTTCTGTTGCTGTGATAAAAAAAAAAAAACATGATCAAGGGAACTTACAGAAGGAAGAGTTTATTTAGCTTACGGTTCCAGGGTCCAGAGGAGTTAAAGAGCCCAAAATGGCAGGGAGGCATGTTGGCAGGAGGTGGTTGAAGCAGAAAGCAGAGGTTCACATCTTCAAGCAGGCACAGGAAGCAGAGAGCCGCTGAAAACCCAGCATGGCTTAAGAACTCTTAAAGCCCATCCCCAGTGATGGACTTCCTCCAGCAAGGTCACACCTAAAACCTCCCAAAACAGCACCACCAAAAAAAGGTCCTTGCTTGCTCCTGTATCTTCAACCATTTTTTTCCCTAACATTTTCATAATTTCTGGTCTTACATAAAGAACTTTAGTCCATTTTTAAATGATTGATTTTTGTACAGCATGAGAGCAATCTAATTTCATTCTTTTGCAAGTGACTGTCCAGTTTTCCCAGCACCATTTGTTGAAAAGATATCTTTTGGGCATTTTTGTCAAAAACTAGGTGGTTATAGGTGCATGGGCTTCTATCTGGATTCTATTCCATTTATCTGCATGACTTTTTGTAGCAGTACAGTGCTGGGTTTGTTAGTATGGTTCTCTAGTATGACTTGAAATCAGGCAGTGAAGCTTCCAGCACTTTTTTTGTTCAGGATTCCTTTGGCTATCTGGGATATTTTGTGATTCCATATGAATTTTAGGATTCTTTTTCTATTTCTGTGAAGGCCAGCACTGAAATACTGATGGAGATTTGCTTTTACTCTGTAGACTGCTGTTAGTAATACAGCTATTTTCACTACATTGTGTGGATTCATGAGCATGGAAAGTCTTTCCATATCCAGTGCCATCTTCCATTTCTTTGGGATTAAAACTTTTTCAGTGTAGAGATCTTTCACTCCCTTGGTTAGAGTCATTGCTAAATATATTCTTGGGTTTTTTGTTAGTTGTTTTCGTTTATTTTGAAGCATTTTTGATTATTTTTTGGACTTCTTTCATGGCAAGTTCCTTTTTGGTAATCAGAAAAGCTACAAATTTTTATGATGCTGTGTATCCCATTCCTTTGCTGACAGAGTTAATCAGTTCTAAGGATATCTTAGGGTCCTCTTGAGGGTATCAAGTACATCATCATACTGTCTGCAAAGGGGGATCATTCGACTTATTTGTATTCTTTTTATTTCTTTCAGTCTTAATGCTTTTTCTAGGACTTTAAGGACTATATTGAATGAGTAGAGAAAAATGGTTATCCTTGTCTCCTTCCTGATTTTAGTGGGAATGCTTTTTTTTTAGTTTTTCCTCATTTAGTATAATGTTTGGTATAGCTTTGCCATGTATAGCCTTTATTATGCTGAGCTATGTTCTTTCTAGTCCTACTTTTGGCCAGAGCTTTTAAATAAAGAGATGATAGGCTTTGTCCAAAGTCTTTTCTCCATCTATTGAAATGATTAAGTGATTTCTTTCCTTGAGTCTATTAGTGTGATGTACTGTGTTTATTGAATTATGTATGCTGGACTATTCTTCCATACCTAGAATGAAACCAACTTGGTCATGTGAATGATCTTTTTTCATATGTGGTTGAAATTCGGATTGTTAAATATTTTACTAAGAACTTTTGCATCCATATT